CATCCAGCCCTGCACCTTGTTGTCTCGGATTCTCCAGCATCTGCAGTTCCTACTATCTCGGAATATATCCCATGTGAATTTACCTTTTAGAATTTATTAATGCTTTTGAGTTTTGAAAATGATATCCACTTGTGCACATTTTATTCTCCTGTGTTATATTTTTCCAAGTATGTATGTAAAATTTTGACCACAAAAGCATCACTAATTGGAGAATAAATGAGATTTTTGGCACTAATTATCAATATTGACAGTCCCTTGAGACAGAACAATGGCAGAGGCAGCAGATGTTTTTCACCTCACCTTGGAGAGACTCAAGCCTATTGATCAAATTAATTTTCTCTCTCTCTCTCCAGATTATGTATACTTTCTAACTTTGGACAAGAATGTAAATAATGTTCACATTCTGCAATAAGAACTGCAGGGTCTGCCAAAATCACTTGCATCTGAGATTCTTACAACCAGCAGACTTGCATTCCTCTTTTAAACTGTGCTTCCAAAATCCAGAAGTGTTGTCCCATCAATTCCACACTGATTTTTACTTTATATTGATCTCCTCTTCCATGTTGCCCTACAGCTCCCTTTGATGGATATACATTGAGAGTTTTGGTTATTTGGACAGCATCTTTATCAACATTACTAGTGGAATTTCCAAAACCATGTTCATAAGTCACTTTTATGATGTACAAATTGGGAGTGTTGGTAATGTTGTCAGAATCTGTTAACCTTGTTTGGGGATGGAGAAGCATTGAATGTTCAGTTGTAACTTTTTCTAACTTCTGAAATTTGAATTGTTAGCTCTACAGCGTCTCAAGTGTTTATTGTTTGTCATTTGTGGGCTTTTAAAATGCAAAACCTACAGTAGCTTTCAGTGTGAAAATTTTTAAAATAGTATTCCTGTTGATCCCAAATGGGACTGCTAAACATAGCAAGAGAACTTTCCCTGTCATTCATGATTTACCAATAACACAACAGCACTAAAAATGTACTTTCAAATTTGTATGTAATTCAAATCTGATAAACCAGCTGATGCTCAAAGCTTCATCACTTTTCTGATTTTTTAATTAAGCAAGCACTGCTAATAAATTCATCTGAATGAGATGGGAGGAGTGCAGTGTTTTGCTATTTTCATGACTACAATTCAGTTGATTTATCCAGATCCCAATATATCCAATCATATGCTTTCTCCAGTTTAGACTTAAACCAAATTTAAGGTTGGATCATTTCAAAGTTGATTTACTATAAAATTAATTTATTTGAATTTAACTGCATAGCATAAGCTGTATTTAATAAAAATGTACCATTGACACTTTTATAGAATCGAACAGCGCAGAGACAGGCTGTTCAGCCCATTGAATCTGCACTGCCCCTCTGAAGAGCATCCTACCCTATCCTCAACCCTGCATTAACCATGGCTAATCCACTTAGACTATGCATCTGTGGCCACTACAGAGCAATTTATCAGGGCCAGTTCATCTAACCTGCACATTTTTGGACTGTGGAAGGAAACCCACCCAGACAAGGACAGAACTTGCATAATCAGCACAGACAGTCATATTTATGTTTTCATTTTATAAACTATTTATCCCTCTAAATAATGAATGGCTACAGGATTAAGAGGGTTAAAAACCATTTCTGTCTCTAGAGTTTCATCTTTTTTCATTCAAATAAATGTGGAACAGGAGCCTTTGGAAAATAAGACTGGTCGAGAACAAACATTGCACATCTTTACCCAAGTAGATGTGCTGAATTCCAGAGCTATATTTTCAATGTTTTTCTTTCTCATTTAGTTTTAATTAGAATGAAAGCCAATCAATAAGTTGATCCAGATGAGTTTTGAAAGTTGGGGGCGAGATAGCCTTAAGCTATCACTCTACAAATGCAGGTTTGTTCTGTTCACGTGTTTACTGATAGGAATAGACCTTTTGGTTAAGTATACCAGCAAAATTCGACTGCTCTGCTTCAAGTAGTACCATTGGGTATTTTGCACAAACATGAGAGGAAGATCAGGCTTCTGAAAAAGATATAAAAGCTAATAACTACAGATGCTGGAAATCAGAAATAAAAACAGAAATTGCTGGAAAAGCTCAGCAGGTCTGTCAGCATTTGTGGAAAGAAATTTAAAGTTAACATTGCAGTCCAGTCACCCTTCCTCAGCACTGGTGATAGTAAGGGAAAAGTTGGTTTTTATGCAGAAGATGGGGAGTGGTGGGGGTAAGGAGTACATGATCAGTGGAGATAGAGTCTAAAGAGAGACAAAGAAGATGATGATTACCCAGGGAGAATGAATAGCTACTAATGGGGGCAATAAGTGGCTGACAATGGGTTGTGTGTAATAGCAGACCATGTGATAACAGGTCCTGGTTTGTGGAGAATTAAGGTGAGGACATGGGCGATGATGCCTCACGCCCTAAAATTGTTGAACTCCATATCGAGTCTAGAGGATGTGGAGTTTCCCAAGCTGAAAATGAGGTGTTGTTCTTCCAGCTTGTGCTGAGCTGCACTACAGCACTGCAGCAAGCCTGAGACAGATGTTAGCCAGGCAACTAGAAGCTCTTTTTTTTTGCAGATAGAAGGTAGGTGTTCTGTGAAGTGGTCATCCAATCTATGCTTTGTTTCCCCAATGTAGAGGAGACCACATTGTGAGCAGCAAATGCAGTAGACTAGATTGAGGTCAAGTGCAGGTAAAGTGCTGCTTCACCTGGAAGGTGTACTTGAGTCCTTGGATACTCAGGAGGGATGAAGTAAATGAGTAGATGTTACACCTTTTTGTAGCTGCAGGGGAAGGTGTCATAGGGCTGTGGTGGTGGTGGGGAGGGGGAAGAAGAGACAGTGTGTTGGGAGTGAAGGAGGAGTTGACCAAGCTGTCCTGGAGGGAGCAGTCCTTGCACAAGGCTGAGAAGAGGGAAATATGTGTCTGGTGTGGCATCCTGCTGGAGTGGGCAGAAATGGCAACTAAAGATCCCTCTGGATTAGGCTGTAAGATCTCTTTGAAAGGCAGTGCAACGTTTCCTCTATCGTACTGGAAA